TCGAAACCTTAGTTCGTTTGAAACAACAATATTTATTTGTAACTGCAAATTCCCGGTTTAGATCCGAAAAATATAATTTTTGTATGTGTAACAACCGCGATAACCTATGAATTCGGTCATTATTATTTGCCCTTATAATGTTCTTTTTTAATGCTTTATTTATTTAGGAACTTTTATACAATATATATAAACAGTTTCATCGTATCCTAAACTATAACTTACAACGATGTTACTAGAGAGCCGATTCAATATTATACAAAATCTTTCCACCCGTTTCGGTTATGGGAGTTGCACAGTACATTATTTAAAACACCTACGGCAATTCGTAAAACCTGCAGGAATCTCATCAACGCTGCTCTCTGTTGCTTATTGGAATATAACCTTTATATTGCACACCAAATTAATTACCCAGAGGAGACCAGTGCAATTTTATTTGGCGTACACAAAAGTTGTGGCATATTAACTTAATTCAGATGGCCTAAGTACATAAAAATCTACCATACAGGCTGGTGTTTATGCTTAAATTAGTTCGCATAAGCCATACAGTAACTTTGTGTATAAGAATTCGAATTCAAATCCATCTTGTATTTTTAGCTAAGCAAATGTATGTATTTAAAATTGTTACGTTAGTTAAACACACACACACAAAAACACATTCTCATTCGCAACAGCCCAATTCGCCCAGTTTCCACTGAGGAGAATGAGTAAGAAATTCCAGTGATTGCTCTTTATAAATTGACATTTGCGCATGTTTATCATTATTTACAATATCATAGACACAATCAACCTAAAAAAACTGAACGGGCAACTACCATGGATTTTTGTCATCCAAGTTCGCAGAAAGTGTATAAGATATAACATTTACAATAATAATAATAATATAATGACACGCACACACATAGCCCCTCACTATGGAAATCCTGGATCGCGGGTGCCATGGACACACAAATACACATAAATAAAAATTACATCCAAACTCACGAGAGAAATAAAGTATACCATACAAATATTTCTCCCGGCCCGGGAATCGAACCCGGGACCTCTGCGTGGCAGTCCAGGATTGTAACCATGGCCGATGCCACGGAGGTAGTTCAAAATCACAAGTGCATTTTACTTTTAACAAATATTGTATGGCCTATATTTATTTCTCTTGTGAGCTTGGGTGTAAATTGTGGTTGTCTATGGCACCCGTGATAGAAGGTTTCCCTAGTGCGGGGCTCAAAAAAACTGTTGAGTTAACCGGTGGCCAAAAGGCATGGCATTGTACAACGATTTCCACGAATTTAAAAATATGACCGGTGAATGAAGTCTCGCACGAGTGGGTCGATGTGGGCTGTTTGTTTACATGACTCATTTCGGTAAAGTGCATCGAGTAGAGTGGATACGCATTTCTGCAGCCGCGTGTTTATGGGAAAACTACGAAATTAGGTCATCCTGCTATTATTGTCTACTTCGCTACCTTTTTAACAAGCTTTAAAATGTATTTTGAATTCATCGTGGTAAGTTGACTATGCGCACAGATATTACTTAACAGATTGCAAGTTTTTTGGCTTGATAATATCGATTTGGCAATGAAATTTCCTGATTGGTTTATATCTATATGTGTTCGGCAGATTTTTATAATATGATTCTCATAAAAGTTGCGTTACAATAATAACTACATTTACTCATAACTCCGATGCAATTTATAAGAATAAGATTCCAGATAAACACGTCAATAGCGGGCTTTACACAGACGCTCTATCGCGCGTGATACAGCAATCATGCGCGATTGAGTGGGCGTGTAAACACTGAAGGAAAAGGGAAAGACTGCGCGATTGCGCTCATCAGTCGCGCGCGCAATCGTTCACTCCAACACTCGCCAGTTTCACCCGGTGTATTATTTAGACGCTCTTTTAGTTGTAACAAAAATGAACACGAGCAACTGCGCGCGAATCAATGGTAGTTTAAAAAACTTCAAACAGATAATCGCGCACGATTGCGCGTACAGGCTTTCTCCTGATCACGCGCGATAAAGTGACTGGGTAAAAGGGGCTAATTACCTGGTCTCAAATTGAAACACCTAGAGCGGAACCAGTTTAAAAAAGTTTGCTTCTCAAATTGGTCCTACCGGGAGTCAACGTTGCCTCAAAGCTTTAAGTCGCAAAGACACTGCAATTACATTACACCCGTCCGTCACCTTGAGATTTAAGTTGACAAGTTCCAAGTGCCTGTAATTTCACCAGCACTTCGATATCTGAACGCAGCAATGCTCACACACTGTTTGGCGGCAAAAATATGTAAGGTGGCAGTACTTCCCTATGTTAATTTTTTCACAAGAAGCTCGAAACACAGAGAATTATCGTCCATATAAATACACGGAATTAGACCCGCCGCGGTCCCGACCCGACCCGCACCCGTTCTCTTATTGTGTTATCGGATTCCTTAAATATGTCGTACGGTATACGGTATCATAATTTTGAATAATCAAAACTTCAAACTAGAATCATTATTCTCACAACGTAACCGCGGAAATGTTCCTTTAAAAAAAATTGACATGACTCTACGGTGCGTCACCTAGAGCTAGATAACTTCTTTCACAAGGAGCTCTACCGCTACGAAATTAATTTCTAGGCAATGCTTCTTAAAAAAATAAAAATGTTCACCTTAAAGTACGAGTGCATCCTATACATGTGCCGATGATCTTTCACGGGGTGCAGCGTGATGGCTCGGTGCACTTCTCGCTTCTTGAGCCGGCCAGTATACGCCTCCGCGCCGCTGCTATTATGGTGCAAGATCGTCTGCATCTGAAATTTGGATTTAATACAAATTTGGGAGTTGTCAATAAAGCACTTAACATTACGCACTTAGCATTCATCAATTATATTCAAATATTACGAGGAGTAATTTTACTAATTATATTAAAATATAACATCAAGTAGAAATTCTCATCAAGGTTCGTGCTCTCGAACATCGTGCCTTCTGGTCTGAAGAAGGCCAATGTTTCCCCTTTTTATGGCTAAACTTGTTCTTTGGAGGAAATAGCTGACAGTCCTTCCTGGTCAAAGAAGGCTACATTGAGACAAATTCCAAAAACCTTTTCGAGGACTTTCACCTGTGGCCCCATGGATACGAGGTTCCACCAGTAATAGCACAAAACTGACATAAAAGTTGATTGTATTTGGGTCCGCTGCTGTTTTCGGCAGATTTAGCAGAGGCTCCTTCTATCCGTGCTTGCGTGAACATAGGAGATACGGTCTCCACTCGGTATCGGTTTAAATGGATCAGATCCATGTAAGACAAATGTATGATGACTAAAAACATTGTATTTCAGTCTGAGCGTGTTTCTTAATTGCGAATATGACAACACCATGTCATCAATCATATGTTGTAAATAGCGATGTAGCGATAAAGCCAAGACATGATTTATTTATTTTTAATGCCTTCCATCATATTGAATTGCCACTTCACAACAAAGTGGTAGTAGCTACAGCCAGGGCAGTTCTGGCTGAAAATCAGTGTTGTGCAAACCAGCCTGCACAGCGTACACTAAATTCAGAATCCACGCCACACAGTTATGCATTAGAGAAGTTACACACGCGATTTTAAGCAGCGATGCAAATGCGATGTAAGCGCGCGACTACAGCGATAAAAACGCGCGATTGCATCGCTACACTTGGTATGTATAGGCGATTGCATCGATGCAATCGCGTGTTTGTGTCGATGCAATCGCGCGTTTGTATCGATACAGTCGCGCGTTTGCATCAATGCAATCGCCTACAAATCGCAAGTGTAGCGAAGTAATCGCGCGTTTCACGAACGCGAGTTTGCATCGCTGCTAAAAATCGCCGTTAGCGTAAGTGTAACCAAAGTTGTATTTTGTTTGTTTTCGTTGTTATCTAAATATAAGAATTTATGTATGTTTTCTGTTTTTTGTGTGGCAAATAAATGGAATAATTACAGTTCTTTGGAGAATGAATGTAAAAATGACACACGTTAGTTCGCTGCACTGCTTGCGTTCGCATGAAATCATCCTCAAAATGATTATATGGAAGGATTTTTTTTAATCATTGTTTTCTGTACGAGGTTTGCTTCTATCGAGTCCATTGTGTAAAAGTTAAAAATGAAATAACATTTTACGTCGTGATTGTACAATCGTTGTTTACATTTCGAGTCATGCGTAATACGAGGTGTTGTGTGCTGTGGTTTATCTCAAGATCAATGCGTGAAGGTCTTTACTTTAGCTACTTTACTTAAACGTTGAATTTTGTAAGGGTACACAATGCGTGAAACCAAAGTATTACGGCATAGTTGACATTGAAGTTCTAATACATTTTTATTGGTATGTGGTTTAATGTTAAATGCTAAAAGAACGTAATTGGCTTTCGAATGCGTACATTCATGAATAGGAAGATTTGTTCGAAGAAAACTAACTCCATTTAACTGCCTCCATGGCCGAACGATTACCATGCCGGACTGCCACGTAGAAATGCAACCTTGTGAGCAGACTTCACAGGATGAGAAGTCAAGATGCTTGAAAAATAACCTTTTACTTTTGTTCAAAATCTAACAGAAATAAAAAAAAACTGTATTGGTATATCGTCACTTTAGAGTAAAAACCTCGCATACGCGTTTTCACATAGTGCGTTTTTTTTTGTAAAAGAAAAACTGATAAACTTCTTGCTAAAATGTGTTATTAATGTAAATTTAATATAGTATCTGAAAGAGGTATAATTCAACTGATTAAAATGCTAACTACAAAACATTATTACTACATTTTACATCACCTTTTATATTCGTTCTGAAAAATTACAAAGAAATCACGTAACATTTAACTGCCTCCGTGGCCGAACGGTTACCATGCCGGACTGCCACGCAGAGGTCCCAGGTTCGATTCCCGGGCCGGGAGAAATATGGCATACATTTACTTCTCTCGCGAGTTTGGGTGTAATTTGTGGTTGTCTATGCGTGTGTCCAAGACACGCATGACACAGGGCTTCCCTAGTGCGGGGCTATGTTGAGTGTGTGTGTATTATAAAAAAAAAAAGTTTTTTAAAGTGTCTGTATTTAGTAATCTACATTTGTGCTAAGTTAGTGGATTATTGGAACTACCTATCAGTGGCGTGGCGTGAAAATTGTAGTTAGTAAAGCCAGAGTAAAACAAAAAGCACTTCCCTTAAGAAAAAGTAGTGCCTTGCCGACACTTAAACAGAACTTATTAGCGCACAAGGTACTAATATACTTCATTTTGCTGGTTAACTTATTCTAAACATAAAATTTTGTACAAAATGTAGTATTTGATAATACGTGGAAAATTTTAGGCAAGCCGGTGAAAATCGAGTTACATGGACGCCTCGCCACTGCTACCTATTTATTTTTATTGTATAATTCCTTTCGGAACAGCCCGTCTCGTATCACATGTCCACCTATTCACCATAAAAGTTCACTAACGGACTGTCCTCCCCATAATTACATTTTAAAGCTTGTTTGTTCCTTCCCCATGTACATACCTTTAGGAAATTTATTGGTATTTATTTTATTAGTATCTGTGTGTTTAATAATTATTTTAGGTTGTTTCGCATTTCAGCTCTATTCATAGAACAATAAGGTCTTTAATAAAATGATATAGGTACCGACATAGTGTTATTTGTTGTTGATTCCGTGAACAGAAAACAATTATGAGTAAACTGTCAATTTTGTCGATTTATTGCTACCTACCTGCTTGACCTCGAATCAAGCTTGATAGTACGTTATTATTTTTTCAATTTACTATGCATATTGTGTTTGCTTATTGACTTCCCTGACGTACGTTAAGTCAATCTGTTTTTTTACGTATGTAATCATAATGTAAATATTTAAACTATTTAATTATTTATTATTTAACAAGGCAATAAGATACTTTGAAAGTCGAATATTACCTCAGCTCGATTAAAATTCTGTCCCATACTGAATCGGTTCCATTGCCTAAGCCACGGAACGAACCAGCGGACCTCACGAATTTTTCTATGTGCTTGCGTCGTGTCTTTGTATTTAGATTTTTAACGACATTTTAGTCGTAGCGCCATCATTTATCACCCAGTTAGTACCTTTACAGCTACCAGTCCTGGCGAGAGAATTTCAATTGATATTCAATTATTTTTTTGTGAAATTACCCCACTAGTTTGTTCTCTTTGACTCCCAATTCAATAAAAATTCAAAATACAGCGAATAGCGACATCTCTTGCCAGAACAGAGCAGTTTTCTTGAAAAATTTCGAGGCAAGTTTGGGTTTTCTTTCTATCGTGAAAATTTTTAGGAATCGAGTTTTGACACCGTATAATTTTAATATATATTTTATCCAAACTGATTGATTCAACAATTTCACTGCCGTGCGAAATCAACCAAAGCCATTTGAGGTTGTATCGACGCATAAGGACTTTACTACTTAAACCAGGACTTCAATGTTCTTCTTCATATATGTATGTGACAAGTATAGTTCTAATTTATACGTAGTGCAACGCAGTTGATTATAGTATGATTTTATAGAAAGAATGGGTTCTGAGACCCCACGGACCTAAGGTCTTAACTACAAAAAGTGGAAATGAGTCGTCGGATTCAAAGACCAGCATGCTGATTTTGAATCCGAGCGAGAAGATGAGCCTAATTCCTACTATATCTTTCTAATTTGTGAGTTAAATCAACAATTGTTCCGATTAGAAATGTCAAAAGTTTCCGATCGACCAGTTGTGAATCGCAATTACGCGCCTCGACTGGAAAAAGACGCATTTTCCAATCGGGAGAGGCAATCAAAATCAAGCTGCTGGAAATCTACTCCCGGTCTCCGTCCAACACGGTCCAAAACAATTACTGTATAATAAGTAATACTCGACCTAATCAAAAGACAATGTGAAGTATGAAGCTTCATTCGCGTTATGCATCTCTCAATTTGGTCGAGTAAAGTAAGTAATACTTATTTGACAGCAATTGTTTCTGACGGACGTCGGACAGAGAACGTGATTAGACCCCTAGCAGGTCGATTCAGAACCTTACGATAAGTCTGTTGTCGACCGATTCGATTAGATATCGTACGATTTCTTTTAATTTTTATTCACAATAACCGAATCGAACGTCAAGCTGTCGTATTCGAAACCTAACCGATTTACGATTACGATTACTCGTACTTCTCAACCGGCAAAGGCTACGAACGTTATTCAGAACACAGTTATCGAATGAAAGTTACTGAACGTCCTATTGTTTACAAAGCAAGAATATGCCAGCCAAATTTGGAATCCACGATACGATACTTATATTTCGCGTTTAGAAAATATTCAAAAAAAATTTATTCGTTTTCTTTGTTACCGTACAAATGACTCTAACAATACTTTTAGCTATTACTCCCTTTGTAAGAAGCACCATCTGTTACCTCTAGTATTACGTCGTGAGATAGGTGACTTGATGTTTCTATTAAAAATAGCATCAAGCTCCATAGACTGTCCAGAACTGCTATCTCAGTTATTGCTGAGAGTCCCCTGTAAGTCATTAAGAAATAATTCGCTATTGTATCTACCACCAACTCATACCAATTATAGACAGGACGAGTTTATGTGGCGTGCCAGCAGTAACTTTAATGAATTGTGTAAAATCATTAACCTAGATTTATTTAATACAAGTGTGACTTCGGCGAGGAATGCATTGGTGAGGCATTTTTGTGACTCCTGTTGATGTTTACTTTTTAATTTTTCTCTATGTTTGTAATTGATTATTTTTTCTTTCTTGAAAATTGTGTGCTACAACTTGAAAATCGATTGTTATTTGTGAGGACCTGTAA